AATCAATCAATCAATCAATCAATCAATCAATCAATCAATCAATCAATCAATCCCTGCATTAAAGAGGAACCACACACCAAGTTTGACCCATCAACTTCAATGTGTTTGTTGACCCCGCCACACCGGGACCGACGGGATACATGTTCCAAACGCCCCCCGCCCCCAAGTCGAAAGCCCCTCGTGGACMCGCGGAGCCTCCGGACCGCCCGCCTCCTTTCATCTCTCCTCAGAACCTCACCGTCACCTGGCTGACAGAGGAGAGAGAGCCGCGGAGAAACGATAGAGGATGTGATGGTTCCGGATGTGAAACGGCTTCCGAACGGGTTTCTTCTGTAATTACTGACCGGTGTGGTGCTGGAGCAGTCACCGGGGTTCGGTTCGGTTCGGTTCGGTTCTGAATAGAGCGACTCTCTCAAACAGGTTGTTGAAGATATCCTTGAGTCTGGAAGGTAAGTTAGTCAGCAGGTGTGTGTTTGAGATTTATTCAGTGAAGAAAGCTGCTAATTAAAACATCACCTGTGATTAAAAGTTCTTTGTAGAGCCACCGGAAGTGAACAATAAGCTGACCCTCACTGTAGTAGTGAACTCAGAGCTGCAGCAGCTCAGGAAAACCTGTATGACACCTTTCTGTTTGATCTGTAGAGTGACAGCCGGGATAAATGGTGTATTTTAGTGTTAATTAGACAGAGCCTGCTCTCTTCACTCCATCCAGCTCATTTCCAGCAGCTGCATTAAACACAACTAATCCTAATGATCACATCTGATGTTGCTTTTCCTTCCTCAGGGGCGTTTGGAGCACAGCCCAGGATGCCTTCCCTCAGGTGACTTCTGCAGGTACGATTTGTTTACAATGTCAGGGATCTGTACCAATCCACAACACTTCCTGTGGTGAGTTTGATGTTCGCTCGGGGCAAGCTAAGAGAAATTGCTGCCTTGTGCTTTTTCTGTTTACTTTATCTCAGATCTCAGCTGCTGTTTTAGTGCTTTCTTTTAATTTTGGCATGATTTGCACGAAGAAGCAAGAGTGCACATTAGCTTCACCAAAAATGCTTCATGTTGTCGATCACGTAGGACTAAAATAGGA